GCATTTGCAGCTCACAGGGCTGCGCGAAGCAATTTTTCTGACGAAGCAAGCGCAGGTATACCCTAGACTGTTCGCCAGAAGTCTGATGTCCAACATCCTGTTGCATGCCCTACCCACCCGCCCTTGAGCCATATTGGGCATGGGGTTGGGGAGTGAACAGGCCTCTGATTCCAGCTACACTTTTCGCCGGAGGCGAATCCTGGAACCCAAATGCCACAGATCTCTTTGATACAGAATGCTGCAGTGTGCTGCTCACAAAACATGCGTGCATTCCGTATTTCGTCTAGGAAGTCATCTCGTAGTCATATCTATCTACCTATCTTTCTAACCTATTTCTACCATCCAGCCAGCCACCTATCTATCTATCTATCTATCCACCTGCCTGGCTATCTGTCTATCTAGCTATCTATCTACCTGTCTACCTACCTATCAATCTATCTGTCTATCCTGTCAATCACTCTACCTGTCTATCACTCTTTCAGCCTATCTATCTGTCTATCTACCTATCTTTTTTTGACTTGCTATCCACGTGCTTTGACTGATAGTCTGACTTGCGACACCGCCACACCGTGTAAGCCGTGAAGAACACGAGATGATGTTTCGAAGCAGTTTCCGCGAGTGTTGCACGTGGGTGTTGCGGCTGCTGCCCACAGAGTCGATGCTGCTTCTCAGGAAGAAGGAGTTGGCCTGCCACTCCTCTGCACTTCAGCTCTCGCCAGCTTTCCTTCTTGTAGACTCTGGCGTGCGACGCGCAAGGGTTGGAATTGTGTTTGAAGGGATTCCTGTGCAGACGCTGAGGCTTCAAGCCTGGGCAAAGCGAGCCTTCGGCAGCGACAGCGACGAAATTCTGAGAGGCGCAGTGCCGGGCTCCATGTCCGCTGACTTGACATGGCCCGAGAAGCTGTTGTGTCAGGCGATCGGCGGCTCGTCCTGGTCCTGGACGGCCTGGACGAAGCCGCCATCGCCCGCCGGCGGATACTCGATTGGCTCCGGCAGTGGCTGCAGCTCTTCGGCCAGCAATTTTGCATTGAATTGTTAGAGCACGCGCGCTGCTTGTCGTCAACGCTCCGGCCCAGGGCAAGCGGCCACCGATGCGTATGCACCATCATCGCCTCTCGGCCGTCCGGCACCAACCAGCCCGGATCCCAGCACGCCTTTGGAAGGGCTAAGGATTCGGAACTTTCATCAGAGCCGCTCTCGATTCTGGGCTGAGGGTGCTGGCCAGCGATGGCAGCGCTCGCGAGCCGGCGGCATCCGTGGTCCTCGGCCAGTTCTCCGAGACGTCGCTGCTGACCCAGGCAGGCCGGCAAGCTGCGACTGCGGCGTGCGAGTTTCAAGCGGCATCACATCCGTTTGCCACATCAGCTGCCGAAGTGTGCATCTTTGCATCATTTCCGCATATTTTCGCTGTCGTTTCCACGCTTGCAGCTCAATGCGTCTCTGCACGGACGCGCCCGCGGTTTCGCGCCTTGAGCCGAACCGTCGCAGGAGCCGCTGCCGGTCTCCTCCCATGTTCGGCTGAACGACGGCACGGGGCAGAGCCTGGGAGCTGGCACCGTCCGCTCCTGCGAAGAGGCGCAGCGGGCGCAGCGGAGAAAGCCCGGCTCCCGAGAGTCGTCGGCAGAGAGCTCTTGGGCACTGGCCAGGGCTTTCTGCTTTTGAAGAAGGAGGTGAACGGCCTAGAGCCCGGGGTGCACTCCCTGAAGGTGCGCCGGAAGGCCCACGTGCACACCTTGCATATAATGAGCTGTATACTTTGAGAAATACCGTCACTTGAGAGTGGTGGCTCTGCCCGACACAGGGTCCGGAGATTGTCTTCTCTGCCGCGGTGTCCCTGGACTACGCCGAGCGCTCCAGTGCCCAGGTGATCCTGGAGCGGGCCTTCCGCACGGCCGGCGGCGATCTGGAGAAGCGTTTTGGTCATCGCGTGGTGGCGCGCCGGGCCGACGGCGAAGTCTGGGAGGACCGAGAGAGGGCGGGCCGCTCCCGGCGCTGGGAGCCGTCGGGGCCTTGTCGTGCGACTTTTGCCAGGAGTCCAAGCCCATCCTCTGCGGCACGATGCTAAAGTGGCCCAGAGGCGCCTTTCCCTGCCGCGCCTTCTTGAAGACCCGCGAAGTCGCGGCCGACGACCGTAACGTCGAAGACGTGCAAGTGTGCAGGCCTCAGATCGAGTGCGCTCAGCCAGCAGCCGCGTCGCCTTTTCTTCTCGCACAGCAGTTCAGCGACAAAGTCTAGGAGCTTCCGTGAGACGTCGGCCGGGATCTTCCTGGAGGGTGACCTGGAGCCAGGCCAGGCCGCTTGCTCTCTCAAGCGCGGCTGTCTTGCTGCTTGTTTCCCTGCTTGCTGAGGCGACGAGGTCGAGCTCGGGAGCGACGGGCCACAGAGAGAACTCCTGCCTCTCGACCGCCTCCCGGCGAAAACATGGACCGCGCTGCCGTCGCATGCATCTGTGCTGAGATGTGCAGATGCTCAGGTTGCTTCCGGGTGGTCCTGGAGGCGGAGGTCCCACGCTGCCCGGCGAGTCTGGCCGAGATGACGGTGCAGGATGAGCTGTCCCTGCAGCCCTGGCCTTGGCCTGTCGTGGAGCGCGAGCTTCGGAGAGCTCCGTGCACAAGGCTCGGCTTCGCCCCGCTGGAGATCCTGCCGCTCAGTCCTCCCGTGGCCTCAAGGCTCGGCGAGGTGGCGGGAAATCTTCGAAGCACGGTGCTCTCGTTTTGCAGGATCTCGAAGTTTGGCGAGGAGGAGCTGCGAGCACTCCCCGAAGCGGCGCCTCGACTCAGCAGATCGTCAGGGATGTGATGTCACACGCACGCAGCGGGGCCGCTGGGCACCGCAGTATCGCCGTCTCATTTCTTGCGTGCAAGCAGAGTGGTCTTTCCCAGATTTTGCCAGTGCAGGTTTGGCGGACGCCCCTGATGGCCAGCATCCTGGGCCCCGCCCCCGTTCAGCTGCGCAGAGTCTTGAGCCAGGGCGCAGGGAGGGGGGAGGCTTCTATATGTTGAGTTTCAAATGTATAACATCCATGCTACGAGAAGACAGTGACGCAAGCCCGGCAGAGGCACATATCCTCGGGGCCAGAAGGACCGAAGCATCAAATGCATCTGCTCTGTGGCTCTCTGGCTTCCGATTCCCTGCCTCTCCCTTTCCCGCCCTCTCTCGAGGTTGTAGGCAGAGAGCAGAATCAGTATGCACATCACGATGCTGACTGCAGGAGGAAGAGCTCGACGGCGCCACGGCAGAGCTGGTGCTGATGGAACACGCTGTGGGAACGCTGCTGAAGCAGGCGAGTCCATGTAACTAATACAGACTCGTGGGGATCTGTCGCAACCAGACGCTATTGGCATTCAAACTGTAGGTTGGTTGGGAAGGGCCTGTTTGAATCATGAACATTGTCTGATGCTGGCATCCTGCAGCCCTGGGCTCAAGTGCCCCCTGCAGGATGCCTTCCTCTTTCTTTCTCCAGGATGGATCCGGCGTTCTCCGAGCTTTTGAGTTCGGCGGGGGCAGCTGTGAGCTCATGGGTCTTGTCTTTCGGTGCACAGTCCTGTGATGACGTCAGATGGTTGTGGCCCACTCTTGATTCCTGTCTCTGCGAGTTCGATTGCAGTACCGTCGATCGAGAGGATATTCTTCGACTTCAGAGATTTTGGGAGATTTGTGTTGCCCGCTCTGATCTTCACAGGGCTGCTGCTGTGTGGATTCCCGCTCTGGTCTTAAGCAGAACACTCGCGCGTGGCAGCCAGGGGCGGATACATCTTCTAGCGCTCCTGCTAAGAAAGCCAAGCTCTTGGTGCCTTGGCGACATCAGCCTCAACCGTCGCAGGCCGTTATGCATACAGGCCCTGTTCGACAGCTGCCAGCGCCTGCCCAAGCCAAGCTGCGTGAACTTTTCAAGCTTGTCATTACACATTTTGTGGATGTTACTGCTTTGGGCTTTGTGGCCCCAGCTTGGGATGACGAGGAGGCCGTGGCTCGTGTTGAGTCTGTTGTCATGGCTTCTGCTTCGCGCTCTGGCTCCCATCACTTGGGGTTTATAGCATC